ATCTGGATCCACTTCCTTTCTGTCTCTGGCTAAAAAGAACAGGTTTCTAAGGGATAACAACAAAACATGACAAAATAAAATATAAGATAAACCAAAACCCTTCACATCAAGGCTGGACAGGACAAACCAACAGAAGGAAAAGAGCCCAAAAGAAGGGACAAGAATTAGAGACCCACTCATTCACACACGTAGGCGTCTCATAAAAATACTAAATGAAAGCCATAAGATATACAAAGAGGACGTGGTGCAGATGAGCAGACCCTGCGCTTGCTGCTTCAGTCCCTGTGAGCTCAGATGAGCCTTGTTCAGCTGATTCAGAGGGTCTTGTTCTCCTGGTGTCCTTCATTCCCTCCGGCTCTTAGTGTCTTTCCACCTCCTCTTCTGCAGGGTTTCCTGAGCTCTGAGGGGAGGGATTTGATGGAGACCTGCAATTGAACTCTCTCTTAACATGATGTATGGCTGTCAGTCTCTGTATTTGTTCCCATTTGCTGCCAGAGGAAGCCTTTCTGATGGTGACTGGATAAGGTACTGATCTATGAGTATAGCAGGATATCATTAGGAGTCATTTTATTGATTTTTTTTTGACAAGTAGTGGTTGGTTTTACCTAGGTCTCTAGGGTAGTCTCTGGTTCTTGGTCACCTAAGCTAGTTTTGGATATGGGTTCCATCACACGGAGTGGGCCTTATCAGATACTGGTTGGCTCCCCCTGAAAGTTCAGTGCCCCTTCTGTCCTAGCATACCTTGCAGGCAGGACAGATTATAGGTCAAAGGCTTTGTGAGTAGGTTGTTGTATACGTTTTTCTTTTGGCAGCCTATAAAGTACCTTCCTGCACCAAAGACAGTAGAATGTAAGGGTGAAGGTTCCATCAGCTCAACTTCTCCATATTCAATTAATTTCATGGATGCTATCCTCAGCAATGGGGCCTTGCTGTCAGTTTGTGGAGAGCAGCCCATTCTCTTAGCAATAGCTTGGGTTGTTTGGTTATTTCCATGGGATCTCGTTGGCTCAACAACTCAATAGAATGCAACCCAGTCTCACTATTGAAAGCCTTTATTGGTGACAAGAGAGGGCCAGTTGGAATTCATATCCCCCATTGTTAGGAGACCTCATTACGATTGCCTTCATATAGTTTACGGTGTTTCTACTGCACTAAATTTCCACATCATCCTTAATGGCCCCTCAGTTCCTGGCTCCACCCCCAGCACTGGCAACAACTGTGTGCCAGCACACCTAACTTATCCGTAAGTGTGCTGGGGCTCTGCACTTAACCCTCGGAGAGTTTCCAGTTCCCGCACCTTTTCATTCATTCGTTTGTTTGTTTGTTTGTTTATTTATTTATTCCAGACAGATCTTTGTAACAGTCCTGTTGTCCTGGACTCACTCTGTAGACAAGGCTGGCCTTGAACTCACAGAGATCCGCCCGCCTCTGCCTCACAAGTGCCGGGTTTAAAGGTGTGTGCCACCACTGCTGGTTCACCTTTTCTTTTAAAATGGAATGGTTTGATTTTGTTTGATAGCCCTATTTTTTCTTTTTAAAGTATTGGTGATTAAACTGACAGTCTTGCACATTCTAAACAAGCATTTTGCCACTGAGCTATGTGGCCAGTTCCTTCTATTTTGAGTTAGGTTCTCCTTAAGTTTAAGTGTTGAATTCACTGTGTAGCCCAGACTGTAACTTGTGTTTATGATCTTGGTTCCTGTAATTCCCTTAGTCCATTCAACATGCCATGGACCAGTCTTTACTTTTTCAACAGAAAATTAGTAAATCACTATGGTAAATTACTCTCTGAAAGAAATTCAGAAACCTCTCATTAATATCTAAAAGATGAGCAAAATTAGCAACTTTTATTTGTTTACTTTAATATTTTTGATCTCCCAATCTGAAAAAAAATTGCTTACTAATATTTCATACTTCCTATTACTTACCTATTTCTGCTGTTTATTTTATTTATCTATATTTTAGTTATTTTGTGCGGGTGTGGTAGGAAGTATTGTGCCATGGCGATGGCACATGTGTTGGTCGGAGAACAACTTCAGGAGTAGGTTCTCTCTTCCACCATGTGGGCCCTGGGAACTGAACCCTTGTCGTCAAGCTTGGGTGACAAACCTTCGCCTATGAGCCATCTCAACTGTTCTTATCCTTTTTTTCCCCTCAAGACAAAATCTTTGTATTGAAAGCTGGTCTCAAACTTCATATTGAGGATGAACTTGAATTTCTGATCCTTCTGCCTCCACATCTTGAAGCATGTACCCCATGCTCAGATTTCTATGGTGCTGGGGACTGAACCCAGGGTTTCATGCATGCTGGATGGGCACTCTACCAATTAAGTCACATTCTTAGTCTTTATCTTTTTATACTCCATGATTATATTCATCAATTTAAGCCTTATTTCTATATTAAGTAGGTTGTATACTCATTTTCAGTCTTTTAATAACTTATTTATTAAATTATGTCTGTTTTATACATGTTGGAATACTAATTTATTGTTTTTCATTTTTTAAAATTATTCAGCTATTTTATTTTTGTTATTTATCTGTGTGCAGGTTTATGTGTCTCTATGAGGATATATGCACACAAGTATAGGTACCCAAGTAGGCCAGGGGCGTCGGATTTCCCTGGAGCTGGAGTTACAGGGCGTTGTGCGTTATTCTGATATAGGTTCTGGGATTCAAACTCAGGTTCTCTTCAAGAGCAATATAAAGTATCTCCAGTCCTTCACCCTCATTTATGTCTTTATTTTGTTTATTTTTGACAGGGAGCATTGGGATTACAGACCTTTGCTACCACACTCACTGTTATCAGGTGTTTCTACTCAGTGGTTTGGAAGGAACAGGGAGAGAGAGAGAGAGAGAGAGAGAGAGAGAGAGAGAGAGAGAGAGATCAATCTTCAGGCAAAGGGCTTATTAGTAAGCTGGTCAGAGTGGTGGATGTGAAGAAAAGGCTTCATCCTGCTTGTTTCTCTACATTGTGTTTTTGAGAAAGGGTTTTGCTATGTAGTCCTTGCTTGCTTGGCTGAGTTATGTTGCCATAACTCGCTATATAAAACCAGGCCTGTTTTGGACTCCCAGAAATTTGCTTTTCTCTGCCTCCCAAATGGTGATATTAAAAGAGTGTGTCACTGGACAGGGTTGGAATTATTTCTTTGTGAGACTGTTGTGGGATAACACTCTTGTATACCGTAAAGATTTGTCACTCGTATTGGTTTAATAAAACACCGAGTAGCCAGTAGCCTGGCAGGAAATATATTCAGGTGGGGCAACCAGACTAGGAGAACTCTGGGAAGAGAAAAGGTGGAGACGCAGTTGCTACCCAGATGCAGAGGAAGCAAGATGAGAAGGCTGCACTGAGAAAAGGTACCTAGTCACATGGCTAAAAATAAACAAGAATTATGGGTTATTTAAGTTATAAGAGCTAGTTAGTAATAAACCTGAAATAATAGGCCAAATAGTTTATAATTAATATAAAACTTCTGTGTTTCTTTGGGACTGAATGGCTGTGTGAGCAAGTGGGACAGAAACTCCCATTTACAAATGGTGATGAAACATTTGGCAAGAATTTTCACATAAAGCCTGAGAAAGATTAAAAAAAAAAGATACTAGACAGATGGGAACAGAGTCAAGTACATCTTTTTGGTAACTGTCTTTACTCTAGTAGTCTCTGCTGGCTGCAAGCTCCTTTAAGAGAGATTTCCTGATTCAGCATTAGCAGCAGAGAAACCCTGCCTTAAAAGACCAAAACTTAAAAAATAAAAATAAAACGAAAGGAGTAAAAATAAATAGTCATGTAAAGATGGAAAACACACAGGGAATCTGAATGCTGTATGCTATTGTGTTGTATTTGAGTTGTTTGACTGCTGAGGAGGGATCAGCAGCTGCCAAAGGACATTTGATTATAAATACTGCTGAAGTAATCTAGCCTATATATTTTGAAAATGCCTTGACTTCAAAATTTAAGTCAAAAGATATATTACTTTGGAGAAGAGGTTTTGCTTTTGTTTCCACAGAAAATGAGAGGCTGTAGATTCATTCTGGGTTAAGAAAAATAAAGTTTGATCAAGGAAGACCCCCCCTGAAAAATCTCCAATGGGAATGGATGTCCCAGATGATCCATGTTTTAGAGCATCTCTGCTGCAGTTTCCTCTGAGTTCTGCATCCAGAACTGCCTCAAGACTGCTGGCTGAGATGATCAAACTTCACAAAATACTCAGGTCAGGACTAAATTTTCTTTGATTTCCCACAGGATTATCAGTGCTCCCAATCAATAGCCTAGAAAACTATGCCCACATTCCCAAAAAAATGAATTATGGATGTTTGTCTTTGTTTAGAGTGTTGGATGTAAGTTGTTATGGATAATGATCAGGAAAAAAGCTAAACAAAGGAGATTAGATTCAGAGTTCTTGTTTTGAATAGGAAAAAAGGGGAAATGCTGTGGGATAATACTCTTGTACACTGTAAAGATTTGTCACTTGTATTGGGTTAATAAAACACTGATTGACCAGTAGCCAGGCAGGAAGTATAAGTGGGGCAGCCAGACAAAGAAAATTCTGGAAAAAGGAAAGGCCAGATGCAGTCATTATCCAGAAGCAGAGGAAGCAAGACGAGAATGCTGCACTGAGAAAAGGTACCAAGCCATGTGGCTAAACATAGACAGAAATTACGGATTAAGTTGTAAGAGCTAGTTAATAATAAACCTGAGCTAATAGGCCAAGCAGTTTATAACTAGTATAATCCTCTGTGTGTTTCTTTGGGACTGAATGGCCATGGGACCAGACAGGACAGAAACTTTCCTTTACAGAGAGACAGCACAAGGGTGAGGATGGAGGTGGGAGTAGGGGTGGGTGGGGTGGTGGTAAGTGTTAATGACCTCACCCAATTAGACTCAGAGACATTCTATTTGCTTTTTTTCCCTCAAGATAGGGTCTCACTATGTCGCCCTGGGTGTCCTGGAACTCACTGTGTAGATCAGGCTGGCCATTGTCTACTGAGTGCTGGGACTAAAGGTGTGTACCATGTGCATAACTCCATTATATTTTCTAGTATTTCTGGCTGGAGTAGGTGTTTAAAAGGTCCCAAGGGCTTTTCTGGATATGGGGCATCTGGGAGAACAATAGACCTTGATAGGACTCAATGAGACAGCTCTGTCTTCTCTATTTTGAGTTTATTATCTGAAAATGCAGGTTCGGGGGGGGGGAGCATGAGGGCACTTGAGTCGCTAATAGCTGTGAAAGGAGGAAGCCTTTAGAAGCTTGCCTGGGTCTGAGGCTCTTCACAGTTGCCTTCCCCCCAACCTCACCTCTTTTCCTTCTCCTCTTTTCTTTGAAGTATTTGGGATTGAACCCAAGCATTGAAAAGATATGGACCCTATTCTCACAGAGTTGAATGAAGCCTGTCTTCCATAATCTACTTTATCTTGCTCCGTGCCCTTTTAGGAATTCATACAAATCAGAGTCATGGGGTACTTACTGTATACACCACAGGCTGATGTGTTCCACAAACCAAACCTGTGTAAAGCCTGTCTCAGTCTGGTGGGGAGGGAAATCACTACAGTTCACTTCCACACCACATCGTGGGCTGGAGGTGGTCTTACGTGTCTACCTGTGCTCCATGTAGCAGCTCAGGGGCTCCACACACACGGTGACAGCACCATTGGAGAAGTAGGACTTGACATTTGGGTCTGGGTGAGTCTGCAGGGCCTGGACAACATCAATGACATCTGTGTAACTAAAGGGAGAAAGCACATAGTTAGCTTCCTGGCTATGGATACAGACTAGGAGAAGAGGGGAGCGCTGAGTGCCTGACTGCCAAGGGCTGAAGACCCAAAGTAGAAGGCAGTCACAGAATTCCTTGGTGATACCCACTTTATGATCCACAACATGGTAGAATCCACAACATGCTGCTTCATTCCCAATTTCTCTCTCTCTCTCTCTCTCTCTCTCTCTCTCTCTCTTTCTTTCTTTCTTTCTTTCTTTCTTTCTGTTTTTTTTGAGACAGGGTTTCTCTGTAACTTTGAAGCCTGTCCTGGAACTAGCTCTTGTAGACCAGGCTGGCCTCGAACTCACAGAGATCCGCCTGCCTCTGCTTCCCGAGTGCTGGGACTAAAGGTGTGAGCCACTACTGCCCGGCCTTCATTCCCAATTTCTTTTGATTCCTCTAAAGAGTGGGTGGAAGAGCCAGCTTAAGCTGGAGATAAGAAGCAAGCAACTGGGCTCTGCGGGTGGGACTGTGTTTTCTAGTCACAACTCTGGAGTCCTGCCAGACAGTGTTTTCTTTAGTTCCGTCCCCTCCCTTCATTTCATGAGGTCATCAGATCTGTCAAATACCATTTCTAGTCTCATCTTCTGCCTGGAACTCCCTCCAATCTGATGGCTTCACTTAGGAGCCAATGTTTGTAGTCCAAACTCTCAAGCTGGTTCCTCCCAGGTTCCTGTTATTCTAAGCCCAGGGGACTTTACTCTTTCAGATGCTTGGCCAAAAGATCTGTGCCCTCTTTGATTCCACATTTTATTAGTCTTCAGCATATACCCAGAGGAGATCACTGCTCACGCTCCCACTGGGTCCAGACTGCCACAGTATTTTACCTAGGCCACCCCAATGGCCTCCCAGCTGCCCCCTACTTTTGTCCTGCCTCACTGCAAATTTCTCAACACAGAAGCCAGAGGGATATGCTAGGCCCTTTGACAGATCACATCACTGCTCTGCTCAAAATCCTCGAGTAGTTTTCATCTCAGTGCAGAAGCCGAGCCCCTTACCCTGGGCCAGGCAGCCTGTGCCATCTGACCACTCGCAGCACAGGGGACGCCATTGCTTATCCCATCCCTTCCCCTAATCCAACCCTCTGGCCTCCTGGGTCTTCTGAGCACGCCAGGCATACTACATTTGTACGCTGCTCCCTCAGGCTGGAATGCTCTTTTCCTCTGGCATCTGCATGCCTGCCTGGCTTCCTTCAGGTCTCTGCTCAAGTGGTGCTCAGTTGGTTTTTGTGGTGCTGGGGATCGAACTTACAGAGTGTTGCATGTGCTAGCTGAATGCTCCACCACCGAGCTATGTCAAGTGGCACCTTATGGAGACATCTTGGGCCTTTGCACACTGCAATGATGGTAATGCTCCTTGGGGTGCCTTGTATGCCTCCTCCCCAGTTTTCCTGCAAAGCACTGACTGTCAGGTACAGTCCCCTTGTTACTCTGTTTTCCTACAAAGCACTGACTGTCAGCTACAGTCCCCTTGTTACTCAATTCTCTTTGTGCGCATCTTCGGTCCCACCTTCACTCATTTGTCTGCTCACTGTCTCTGCAGTAACGGAGCTGTTTGGTGTTACAGTCTCTGAAGCCTAAAGCACCACAGGTCAATAAACTGGACATTCGACCTCCTGCAGAACTTGGGCCTACTCTAAGGGGCCTCTTCACCTCACAGAGGACAGCATTGCTTCAAGGGACCTAGACTATTATCAAAGGTCTGAGTCTGTGAGGGAAGTCAGACCTGGTGACAGTCTGGCAGATCAGAGGGACCTGTGTCTGTGAGGGCCTTTGGGAGAACAGAGGGAGGTGGGGGAGTGGGCGCAGCCGCCAGGGCCATGTCCTGAGTTCCTAGTCACAGCTCACCAGCTAAAAGGAACTCGGCTTTATCCCAGATTAGAGCATCATCCTCGGTCCTGCCCAACCATCAGAGTCATGGGGATGTTAGGGTGTGGGTGCCAGGCTGCTCCAGGGGTGTTTACTTATTTTTCATTTTATATAGACTCTCACTTTGTATTTATAGGTATATTGGGACTTGCTATGTAGATCAAGTTGACCTCAAACTTGTGGGATCCTGCTTTAGACTCCCAAGTGCTAGGATTACACTCTGCCTGGCTCGCTTGAGAGACTGATGAGTGAGTCTTAGGCTCTGCTCCCTGGCTTCTCTCCCAGGCATGTGTGTGTGTCTATTTCCAGCACAGTGCTTGGGTGGGTCCCTGTGCAGGACAGTGCCACATACTTGCTAAGTGGCCTGATGCTCACACACTGTCCTGAAGCTCTCTGTGGAAACATTAATCAGATTTACCATTTCTGGGTAAATGCCCAGACTTGCTCCTCAGCACTAACATTTCCCCTCTCTGAGAAGAAGGGCTTATTGCACTGCTTCTGTGGCTCAGATGGCTGAGTGCTTGTCTAGCATGCCCAAAACCATGGGCTGGATCCCCAACACCGCATAAGCTGGGCACTATGTCACAAGAGCATCATCTCAGCATAATCATCGTGCCACCGTAAGGAGAGGAACTCATTCTTGGCATTCGGGAAAACATTTAAAATGCATGAAAATGACTTTTGGAGAGCTAGAATGGATCCCCGTCATCACTTTGTCACAATGCCTCTGATTCTGGTCCGCTTAGGGAATAGCTTTAGTAACTGTGATATAGCTTGTATGGACCCTCACCAGCCTAAGCCACGAAGACACAGGCGGGCACTATAGAGACCTGGGCAGGTGTTGTATTAGGACTCTGCGAATGTTTGGTTCCAGAAACCCGGCCTTGCAGCTGCCTGGACCTTCCCCTCTGCTCTCACTGCCTGCTGCATTCACCTGCTACTGCAGATTGCCTCCTTAACAGACACTTTAGTTTTTTTGATATTTATTCATTCATTTTGAGTCAGGTCTCACCATGTAGCTCTGCCTGGCCTGGGACTCACTATTTAGACTAGGCTGGCCTCAAACTTACAGAGGTCTGCCTGCCTCTGCCTCCCCAGTGCTGAGATTAAAGATCCATCACCCCTGGCTAGAAATACTTAATTTTCAAAACAGCTTTAAGTTTTTGAAGTTGCTGAGCAGCTAGGAGTTCCTTTATACCACCCCTGCCCACACAGTTTGTCCTATTAGTCATGTCTTATTAATATAACACATTTGTTAAAATTAATGAACCAATATTGGTATATTTATTAAAGTCTATAATTTACATTACAGTTCAATATTTTTCTTTTTGAGAGCAGGTCTCTTATAATTTAGTCTGGTTTTAACTCACTGTGTACCTAAAGGTGACCACAACACTGGATTTGAAGTGCTGAGGATCAAACCAAGAGTCTCTGCCATGCCAGGCAAGCATTCTTCCGCCTGAGCTACATCCCAGGCTGCCTCCCTGCCCCCACGGTTCTCACTATGCTGCACAGGTTGTCCTCAGACTTCTGGACTGAGACAAAACCTCTTTCCCAGCCCAAGTGTCTGGGTTTTAGTTGTGGGCCACTACGTCTCTGTGGCATTTTCTCGCTGTGTTATGTTTTCTATGATCCATAACGTTATGGACATCACAGCATCGTGTAGACTAGCTGATGGCCTTAGAGTCCCTCTGCTCCATCTGCCACCTTTCCCTGTCCGCCAGCTCTTGGTGACCACTGACCTCTTTATAGTCTTTATAGTTTTGCCTCTTCCCAGTGTCAGCTAGCTGTGATTAGACGCCTTTCACACCCGATACCCGTCTTCTTTCTCTCAGTGATATGCACAGGAGTCTGTGGGTCTGTAAAGAGACCAGAGCCTGTGAGTTCCAGGCTAGCCCAGGCTACAAAGAGAGAGTCTCTCTCAAAATCTCAAAAAAAAAAAGAAAGAAAGAAAGAAAAAAAAAAACCCAAGCAACCAGCCAAGCAAAACAAAACAAAATCATTTAAAAAATTCTTGTCAAACTGTTTTCCTAAGTGAGTCTCCTTTTACATCCCCTCCAGGACACGCTGCTTCCCTGTGCTCCACGTGATTGACAACCTGTGGTGCTGCCAGGTGCCAGGACTTGGCCTTTCTTGGTCAGTGCTCTACCACTCACGTGCCTCCCCACTCTAGACCCTGGGCATGCTAGTCGAGGCTTAGTGTTTCCCCATTAAACTTAGCAATTCTCTAAGTGACATAGGATGTCAACTGTCCCTCTTCCTTCTCTTCCTTCTCCTTTTCTTCTCTCTCCCTTCCCATCTTCCTTCTTCTGCTCTTCCATTTATCTTTATTTTTGATTTTTTTTTAAAAAAAATTACCTGAGTATATGTGTGTGCATGTGTGAGTGCATGTGTGTCTGCGTGTGGTTACGTGCAGGTGAGATCAGGCACCCACCGAGTCCAGAAGACATCAGATCCCCCAGAGTTGGAGTTACAGGCAGTAGTGAGCCACCTGGCATGGGTGCTAGGAACCAAACTCAGGTCCTCTACAAGAGCAGTGTGTGCTCCTCTTAGCTGCTAAGCCATCTTTCCTTCCTTTGTTTTTTTTTTTTTTTTTTTACAGACCTGGTCTTGTCTTGAACTTGTGATAATTCTGCTTCATTCCTGAAGTGCTGGGATTATAGGCATGGAGTCTCTCTCTGCCACTTACCGGCTACATGAATCTCCTTGGTGAGATATCTGGCCATGTCTCTAGCCCACTTTTAATGGGATTTCCTTTTCTACTTATTGTTGTTGAGTTTAAGAGTTCTTTGTTTATTTTGAGTAACAGTTCTTTGTTTTGTAAATATATTTTTTAATATAATGTAAAGATACGTGTTTTGTAAATATATTCCAGACTGCAGTTTGACTTTTCAGTTTCTCTGTTTGTCTGTCTGCCTCTCTCTCTCTCTCTCTCTCTCTCTCTCTCTCTCTCTCTCTCTCACACACACACACACACACACACACACACACACACACAGTCTCGCTGTATGTCCCTAGCTGGTTTGAAATTCACAGAGATCTGCCTGCTTCTGCCTCTTTGGTGCTGGGATTAAAGTGTGAACATTTAGTTATGACTGGATGGTTTGTTGTCATGAGGTATCAAGAAGAAAGTCTGGAAAACAAGCCCACTTTTAGCCTCTGCAGTTTAGAAAAAAATACTAGGAGGTGTGGGAATAGTGCTGAGAACCAGCCCTACACATCAGCCCACAAGGAGAGCCTTTAGATAGGTGTGGTGATATTATATCCAATATATAAGTGTAAAAAAAAGTCCAACCAGTCCAAAATGGGATGAAATGCAAGTAGAGCTTCCTTCCTCCTCACTTGAGTGAAGGCAGTGGCCGAGGCCAGAGGAGTCAGATATCTCTGGACCTGGACATCATTCTTTCTGGTGCAATCAAACAGCAAGAAGCATAGGAGTGAGCCTGCAATCCCAGGGATGAGGTCGATGGGCTGTGCCTGACCCAAGGGTGGGCCATGGTGTATGCAAATGAGGGAAGCCCTGACTGGTTGGCATTAGGTTCTGGATGGGAGCTCTTCAGTATTGGTAGTGACTAATTTTGATTGGCAGTGCCATTTCAAGTTCTTCTGTTTGCAGTCTGAGTGCAGTAGGGGCTGGGCTTTTTGTTTGTTTGTTTGTGGAAGCCTTTTTTTTTCATTTCTTCTTTTGTTTGATTGTTTCAGACTCATTACGTAACTACGGCTGGCCTTGGACTCACAGAGATACACTGCACTTGCCTCCCAGATTAAAGGCTAGGGATGCTTTCCGAGCCAGGCTTGTAGTAGAGACTATTCCCTCTCTGGTCTTTTGGTCATTGCCTTCCCTCTACATTCCCCCAACAGAGCAAAGGGTCCAGTCTTGGGAAGATGGTTGGAAGTCCTCAAGTGGCTTCTTCAAGCTGATGGGGTTGTGCTGGCTCCTGTTGTCTGTAACATGGAGTCCCAGGGAAGTGCCATGGAAAGAGAGCCATAGTTAGGGGCGGCCTTGGTCGGGTCCTCTGTGTTGCCCGGTCCGGGGCTTGGGGCAGGGCTTCTGATGGGGTTCACAAATTGTTGAATCCCGTATGATGTCACAGGGAGGCTTTCAGATGAATGTGTCAGTCTCAGGAGGGCTGGGTAGAAGAGAGAAAGAAATCCACAAATACTGGGAGCAGGGGTTGAGCAGAGAAAGAGGCCAGGCAAATGATTGCACATGCCTTCAGTTCCAGCACTCACGAGGCAGAGGCAGGAAGATCTCTGTGAGTTCAAGGCCAGCCTGGCCTACATAGTGAGCTCCAAGATTGTAAATACTACAAAGAGAGATCCCGTCTCAATAAATAAATGAGTTAATAATAATAAAAAGAAACACCATCACAACAAAAAGATAACAGTGATTTCTCCTTCATTTGAGCTGAAGATGCTAGGTCTGTCACCCCTGGGGGCCATAGTAAGGAGCCCTTTAGATCTCACCAGAGAGCTGCTGGGCCAGACCCAGGGCAGACAGAGGAAATCCCTAGGATGGATCACTCATCACTCAGGGAACACTATGGCTAGAGAGAGCTGATCAGGGAGGCCTTGTGACCCCACAAGGGGCACCCCAATCAGAGACTTTCTGATGACTTCTGGCACACACAATGCAACTGTCCAGGGTCTCTAGTTGGAGAAAAGAAGAAAGGTGCAATTTGGTGGGTTGGTCAAGAATTTGTTCTTTGTACTAGAGTAGAAAGAGAACAAGTCGGGGTTTTTTTTTTTTTTTGGTAATTTCAGAGAGATTAGTGAGCATGACCATAGTTTCTATTTTCTTTCTTTCCTTCTGTCTCTCTCTCTCTCTCCTTCCTTCCTTCCTTCCTTCTTTCCTCTTTCTCTCTCTTTCTTTCTTTTTTATGACTTTTAAAAAAAATTATTTATTTATTTATTTATTTGTTTCAAGACAGGGTTTCTCTATAGTTTTGGTGCTTGTCCAGGAACTAGCTCTTGTAGACCAGGCTGGCCTTGAACTCACAGAGATCCGCCTGCCTCTGTGTCCCAAGTGCTGGGATTAAAGGCGTGCGTTACCATGCCTGGATTTGTTTCTAGCTTTCTTTTTTTTTTAATGTTTATTTATTATGTATACAATATTCTGTCTGTGTGTATGTCTGCAGGCCAGAAGAGGGCACCAGACCTCATGACAGATGGCTGTGAGCCACCTTGTGGTTGCTGGGAACTGAACTCAGGACCTTTGGAAGAGCAGGCAATGCTCTTAACCACTGAGCCATCTCTCCAGCCTGTTTCTAGTTTTCTGATTGTCTTTTTTAAAAAAATTTCTTCCTGAGATAAAAAGCGGTCATCACGTCACACACCACCGGGGAGCCTGCTTGCTGTGTGCTCATTCTCCAGTCTGGGTCCACGTCAGTGAGAGGAGATGCACCGCTGCGAGGGGTTCACACGTCATTCCTCCCTCCCTCCTTGGTCTCCAGTCTCTCCCCACCCTTCTCCCTCCTTCCCGCCTTTGCTTTCTCTCCTTTTGGGGTCTGGGATGTAGCCAGGGTCTGTGGACATCAGCAGACACGCTAGCACTGGACTGCCCCCCACCCCCGTCCTGGCACCTTTCTTTGATGAACTGCTTTCCCCGAGGCAACTATGTGATCTCTGTTTAGGGAAATTTAGAAATTTCTGTGATTTCTCCTTAGAGATGAGATTGCAACCACATCCTGGCAGCTCCCCTCTATGGTGGCTCATCTGAGGGCTGACAGAAACAAAGATGACAATTGGATAATTAACAGGAGAGCTTGTAGCTTTCAGCTTTAGGTCAGGCTTGATCCAGGGGTCAAGGGATATATTTAAGGACCCAGGGTCATGGTGTCCCTCTTCTGTTCTCAGTCTTGTCTAGTGACCCAGGTTTATTGTACCCATCCACTAGGGAATACAGGAATTGGATTTTGTGTGTGTGTGTGTGTGTGTTTTGAAACAGGCTTTCCTGGAGCCTAGACTAACTTGGAACTTGGTATGAGAGGTTGATGGCTTTGAACTCCTGATCCTCCTGCCACGGGGCTTATAGTGGCACATCTGGCTTTAGTTGAAATCAAGGTATTCTGCCCCCGTACTCACATCAAAGAAAGAAGTGTGAAAGGCTGGTGACAGGGCTCATCGGTGAAGCCTTCGCTGCATGCGAGGGTGAACCCCTTAAAGACAGAAGGAGTGAACTGATTCCACAAAGATGTTAAGACGTTCTTGTAATTCACGGACACCCACACACGCATGCACGTAGACACACACACACACACACACACATGCACGTACACACTTGCGCACATGTGCTAATAATAAATTAAAATTAGAAAAAGGAAGAGTGGATTAATTTTGGAAACCCTAACCACAGAGTTTCATATTCATTTCTATTTAAATTTCCTCTTATTTTAGCTATGCTGTTTAGAAGTTCCACTTGTTTGTGCTCTTTCTTTCACGGCTGCTTTGTTGTTTATGAATATAATAACATTCAAACTTCCCTTTTTCATAAACTCCATTTGCAGTTTGCATTATCCGTCTGAGTCACACTGCTCACCTTTGTTTACACGTTCTTTCAGAAGGCAGTGTAGCTGGTCGTTCAGAGCTGGGTGCCGGAAGTGGCTGCCTGTGTCCACATTCCATCCCCGCCTGGCTGCTGCACAAACCTCCGGAGATGATAGTACAAGGCTCGTTGTCCTCCATGCACATTGCTTGAAATGCTGCCAGGACCACACCAGGCTCTATTCAGCCCCCGCCCCCTGCCGGTGTGTGTGTGTGTGTGTGTGTGTGTGTGTGTGTGTGTGTGTGTGTTTCTGGGGGTCAAACTTAGAACTTGTGCATTCTAAGTCCTGAATACACACCCCTAGCCCTTGATTCATTCTCTCTCTCTCTCTCTCTCTCTCTCTCTCTCTCTCTCTCTCTCCTTTCTCTCTCTTGTCTCGTAGAACAGGCTGGTCTCAAAATCTCAATTTTTCCTGCCTCAGCCTCCCAAGTGCGAGTATTTTAGGCAGGAACTATCATGCTTGCTTGTTTATTTTGAGATATGGTCTCATGTACGGTCCTGAACTCCCAATCCTCCTGTCTCCACCCTGAGTGTTGGCTGGGGTTACAGGCATGCACATCTACACCCAGCTCATCTTTCATTCACTTCAGAATCCTTCTCTCTCTGCTCTTTCTCCTTCACTGTCTAGTATTGATCTGGTGATCAGCACACCTTTCTGCAAAATAGTCAGGGCCAACCGCCCAAGGTGCCTGTCCTGCTCCAGGGTAGCTTTCTTTAAGGGCCTGTTTGGCTCTGGTTTTCTCTACTTCTGATTGTATGTCATTGTGTTGGCCTGAATGACATGACCCCCACAAGTCTCTGGTATTTGAATACTTGGTCCCCAGTTAAGGGTTGTTTGGAGAGGATTTGGCCTAACTGGAGAAGGTGTGCTATTGGGGGCTGGATTTGAGGTTCCTAAAGACTCATGTGGTTTTGAGTTAGTTTTATCTGTCTTCTGCTTTGGACCCAGATGTGAGAGAGAGCTCAGCTATCACTCCAGAGCTCAGCCTTCAACAAAAATCTAAACGACAAAGAACCCCACACCTCTTATGCACCCTCCCTCCCCACAAGAATCTGAAGGTTGAGGAAGCAGAGGGCTCTGGCACCCTCTGGAGGAGGTTGGAGGCTCTGCACAAACACTGGCAAATTGGTGCCCTCGCGGGAAGAAGCCCAGAATCTGGGTAGGGGAAATGAACCTGCTCAGTAATGAATCTCCAAGATTTCCCCGGGCACATTCTCTATTAGAACAATTGCATAAGACCTTGTGACTAACTTCTAGTTAGTTTGACATAAAAAAGCATGAAGCATGCAGTTTACGGAAATGTCACAAAGCTGGGCTTGGGTTGCACTGACCCTTCTTCTGTGAGTAGAGGCATTCCATTGAAGACAGCTGCCTGAAAACGAAGGGGTCCTGCTTCACAATGATCAAGTTGCCAGATGGACGTGGTAGCACACAGGCATTTAGAAGCTGCAGCAAGAAAATCACAAGTTCAAGGCCAACCATGACTACATAATAATAAGACCCTACTTCAACCCATTCACACACAGAAATAAATTGTATGCCAATGCTAGCTTGAGACAAGGGAGACATATCCTGTTTTATTTATACTATTGCTATTTGGAGGTTAGGTTTTTGTAACCAACTTTTCCCTTTTTTTGAAAACAGATTCTTTTCTCGTACAACATAGTTTTACTTCCCTCTTCCCATCCAGGTTCCTCCCTGCATCCCCTCTCATCCAGATCCGCTCCCTTTCTGTCTCTCATTAGAAAAGAATGAGTTATCTAAGAGACAACAACAAAATATAACAAAATAAAACAAGATTTAAAAAAATTCACACCGAGCCTGGACCAGGCAACCCAACAGAAGGAAAAGAAGCCAGGAGAAGGTACAAGAATCAGAGACCCACTTGTTCATATGCTCAGGAGTTCCATTAAAAAATACTAGACTGAAAGCCATAGTACACCTGTTGAGGACCCGGTGCAGACGCGAGGAGGCCCTGTGCTTGCTGCTTCAGTCTCTGAGTTCATATGATCCTAGCTCAGCTGATTCAGAGAGCCTTGTCCTCCTGGTGTCCTTCAATCCCTCTGTCCATCCTCTCTGACTCTTACTCTCTTTCCATCTCCTCTTCTTTGGGGTTCGCTGAGCTCTGAGGGGAGGGATTTGATGGAGACCTCCCATTTAGAGTTGAGTGTTCCAAGGTCTCTCTCTCTCTCTCTCTTTGCATAATGTCTGGCTGTCAGTCTCTGTATCTGCTGCAGGAGGAAGTTTCTCTGATGATGGCTGAGCAAGGCACTGATTTATGAGTACAGCAGAATATCATTAGGAGTCATTTTATTAATATATAAATATATACACACACACTATATGTATAGTGTGTGTGTGTGTGTGTGTGTGTGTGTGTATTTTAAGATGAGTAGTATTTGGTTTTACTCTAGGTCTCTGGGATATCTAGTCTCTGGTTCTAGTCACCCAAGCCCTGCTGGGTATGGGTTCCATCTTGTAGAGTAGGACTTAAGTCAAATCAGACATTGGTTGGTTACTCCCACAGCTTTGTGCCACTATTGTCCTAGCATATTTCGCAGGCAGGAAAGAGTGTAGATCAAAGGTTTTGTGGCTGAGTTGGTGTACATGTTTCTCTTTTGGTAGCCTGCAGAGTACCTTCCTGAAGCAAAGACTCTAGAATGTAGGGGGTGACAGTTCTACATAGACACCAGCTCGATCTTTCCATGTTCAATGAGCTGTGTGGGTTTTGTCTTCAGCAGTGGGGCCTTGCTGTCAGTTTATAGAGAGTCACCCACTGTCTTGGCAACCTGGGTTGTTTGGGGACTTCCATTGGACACTTTGGCCAATAACTCAATTGAATGTAACCCAGTCCCAGTCCTGGAAGCTTTGTTTGATGACAAGAGATGAGTTGGGACTCTGTGTCTCCCATTATTTGGAGATTCATTAGGATCACCTCATATTTTAGGAAGTCTTCACTACACTGTTTCCATACCACTGCAAATGTGCCTCAATCTTGCTATCTCTCCCCCTCCCCAATACCCCACCCTTCCCCATCTGATCCTTCTGCTCCAGTCCTCCTCCCTCCCATCTTTTTTTTTTTTTTAAATCCAAAAGAAAATTCTCTGGGAAATTCCAAAATATCTCCATAGCTTGATTCTTCTGTCTGAAATAAGACCAACTGGCCCCACCTCCCAAGGTGGGTCAGTTCACTTGCAGAATACAGGAGACTTAGAGAGGTCTCCATAGACCCAAGGATAGACCCAAGGATGCAGGAGACTTACTTACAGAGGTCTCCATAGACCAAGGATGCAGGAGACTTACAGAGATCTCCATAGACCCAAAGATGCAGGAGACTTACAGAGGTCTCCGTAGACCCAAGGATAGACCCAAGGATGCAGGAGACTTACAGATGTCTCTGTAGACCCAAGGAAAGGATGAAAAAGATGAGTTGGCTGACTGGGCCAGGTAAGACAGTCCTGACCTCTCTTACACTAAGAACAAGCATGTGGTGTTTCTGAGGACAAAGCCTCCAGGCCTTAGCCTGCCAAGGGAGCCGAATAAGCAAGCACCAAATCCCCATTGCCAGTCACCAATAAGCCCCCAGAGCTTCAAGAAAACTAGGGTGTGGCACCTATAATAACCCCATAGGGTATCAGGGCAACTGGGGTCTGGCTGGTACAGGTTCACAGTTAGACTTTGCTCCAGACTGTCCACATGGGTCTGTCTACCCGTGTGTCTCTTCTAATTGGGACGACATGCTGCCTGTTGCCTGTTCTTTGCAGGCTACGCTGCTAAGGACACTGGCAAGGACACACATGGGAAGGCCACCACAGAAGAACATGTCAAGGCCTTGTTTATGTCATGCCCATTCACATCTATTGGACAAAAAAGTCGCAAAGCCAAGACCTAAGTTAAAAGCTGGAAAATGTACTTCTCCTGTCACGGGGTGGATGAACGCGGTCTTTAAAGTATTGGAGAGCTGACTCCTAGGGACTCTCCCAACGCTAGGAGGCCGGGAGAGACAGGTTTGGTCTTGCTGGAGAATAAGAATACCAGCATCTCCCATTTGCTTGGGAGAAAGCTTCATTGTGGGACCTTCATTCTAGGTCCCACCCACTTAAGCTGCTCAAGTCTCCAGTCCTTGGCCCGGTGGGGGCTGTCCCCTGCTTAGGCCTTTCCTGACCTGAGATTGTGCAAGGCCTTCAGCTGCCCTCTGAGCACACTCTCAGATGGATACAAAGAGGGCTGAGGGTTCAGGAAAGAGGAAACAGCCCCCAGGACAGGATCCTCCTCTCCTGGGAAGCAGAAGCAGAGAACCAGCTGCACTGAGAGTTCTTTGGCCTTCCTTCCTGTTCTCTTCTCTGGCAGGCAGTTCAGCCGTCCCCGCAGCCATTTCCTCCATTCAACAGGCACTTCCATCTGTGGGCCTGCAGAGGAGGCCCGATCAGGGATCAGGGAGCGGGGAGCCAAGTGGGGCTGGGACTTTCTGGGGTAGGGTATGCAGGTGGGTGTGACTCCCGGACTTTCCAAACACGTGTAAACCCTAAGCATGAACTCTAAGCTATGCCCCCATGCTGGGTCCTCTCCAGCCCCGCCCCCTCACCCCAACTCCCACTATAACCCTACTCCCTGCTCCACAGCAGCGGCTCCCATCCCAGGCTCTCCTCACTCGAATGGCCGCTCTAACCACTAACTAAGAGCCTTTCTCCCATAATCCTAGCGCATCATCCCAAACCACTCCCCTCTTTCCTGCCCGGGCCCCATCTTATCCTCGCCTGCAAACATTTCCATCCTAAATTCCAATCTAGACCCCAGCCTACCACCCGACTGAACTGCGCCCATCCCAACCCTAACTTTCTCACTCCAAAGCACCCCTCTCGTTTTTATTCACACTGCTGTTTCACCTGTTGCGGGGTCTTCAGTCAGAGCTGGGCAAAACTAGGTTGTGGAATGAACTGTAGACTTTGTACTGCTTCAGTCAAAGTCAGTGGGTAGCTGCCGGGCCGGTGGCACAGGTTTGTAATCCCAGTTACTTGGTGGACTGGAGCAGGAGGATCATTGACGGAAGGTCAGCCTTGTTACAGAGCAAATTCAAGGGCAGAACATGAAAACCTATTGAAAAGAGGGTTGGTGGCTAGGGATGTAATGCACTGGCAGAGTCCTTGCCTGGCACACGGGAAGCTCTGGGTTCAGTGCCCTGACCACACAAACCAGGTATAGGGATGACATCTGTTACCCTAACATTTGGAAGGGAGAGGCAGGAAACTCAGAAGTTCAAGGTCGTTCTCAGCTACATAGGTGACCTGAGATACACGAGTCCCTGTCTAAAAAAAAAAAACAAAAAAAAACAAAAACAAAAAAAACCACCTTGGGTTCTGTGACTTACACAATTGGTGGTGCCTTTGTTTGGGGCTCTCCTCTCTTCTGAAAAGAATCTACTCCTAGAGTTGCCCATGACACTCTTACTTCTCCTTATGGGTGTCCTTCAGCTGGCTGCATCTGTATCTTTTTTCTCCAGCTGATAGGGAAGTTGAGGGAAGGCTCTGGGGTACAGGAAACAGAAACTGAATCTTACTCTGGGGAAAGCTACCCCTAGTGACCCTGCCCCTGTCCTTTCTGTGCCTGCTGATCTGGGCGTCTGAGATCAGAGATCGAGGAGTCGGAGCCTCAGCCTGTTTTCCCTAGATGTGCTGGGACACTTGGTCTCACGTGCAGTCAACACAGGGCCTCCCTAATGGCTCTGACATGGCACATGAGGATTGCAGGGTGGGCATCTAAGCCCATTTCTTCCATATGCCCTGCTTGGGCATTCAAGGGTGAACATCAGGAACCTCCATCGAGGACAATACTGTCCAAAAGTCATGTTCACAGGAGGCTTTCTCTCAGGACCACAGGCTTTCTGTGTATTCTTCCGTTTCCCAGGGCCAGAATTTATCTCCAGGGAGTGCTGTGTGCATGACTAGGTTGACCACCCCAATCCGAGCCCATGGCACCTCCTCATCTACACCAGGCTCTCATGCAGATACAGAACTCTTCCTTCTGGGGTTTCCCTCCTCTTTCTTTCTTTCTTTCTTTCTTTTTTTTTTAAGACTGTCCCCTTGGCTTTTGGGGTGAAACAGACTGAGTCAGTATGCTGGACCCCAGTGGGACTGGTCCCTGTGGTACTGGGCCTGGGCCAAATGAGGCAACACTGCCATATCTCACATGCTCCATTATGGTATTTGGATGTCTAAATCCCACCATTCTTCCGCAAGAGTCATCACTGCCATTTCTAGGACCTCAATTATAGGAGACAGGGAGCTGGAGACAGCAAAGACATGGCTTGCTAATGTTCTGGCTGCAGGGTAACTGGCCCTGGTACCACATATGTGGATCTAGGACCTAGGGCTACTACTATCCCAAATGTATTCAAGAGGGTGCCTTTTCTTTTCTTTATTATTGATTTTTATTGACTTCTACATTTTTTTCTGCTTCCCTCCCTGCTTCTCCCCTCGCCCCTTCAACCCTCACCCAAGGTCCCCATGCTCCCAATTTACTCAGGAGATCTTGTTTTTTTCTACTTCCCATGTAGATTAGATGTATGTAAGTCTCTCTTAGTGTCCTCATTGCTGTCTAAGTTCTCTGGGATAGTAGTTTGTAGTCTGGTTTTCTTGCTTTATGTTTAAAAGCCACCTATGAGTGAGTACATGTGATAATTGTCTTTCTGTGTCAAAATAATGTTTTCTAGCTCTATCCATTTTCCTGAAAAATTCAAGATGTCATCATTTTTTTCTGCTGTGTAGTACTCCATTGTGTAAATGTACCACATTTTTCTTATCTATTCTTCGGTCATGGGGTATTTAGATTGCTTCCAGGTTCTGGTTATGACAAACATAGCTGCTTTGAACATAGTTGAGCACATGTCCTTGTGTCACCATTGAGCACCCTTTGGATATATACCCAAAAGTGATATTACTGGGTCTTGAGGAAGGTTGTTTCCTAATTTTCTGAGAAATCGCCACACTGATATCCAAAGTGGTTGTACCAGCTTGCATTCCCATCAGCAATGCAGAAGTGTTCCCTTTTCCCCACAACCTCTCCAGGATAAGTTGTCATCAGTGTTTTTGATTTTGGCCATTCTTACAGGTGTAAGATGAATCTCAGAGTTGTTTTGATTTGCATTAATCTGATGACTAAGAATGTTGAACATTTCCTTAAG